GTTGTCCCTCCAGCAGATGTCAGGGTTATCATCATGTTATCATCAGGTTATCATCATGTCTCATGTTTCAACCATAGCATTGTTGCAGGATATGCACTGTGATATTCCGAGAGAAAAGTAGGTGGAAATTAAGTACATTCCCTTTGACACAAACTGAGCGTAAGCAGCACCATGGCAAAGTCAAAGTGGTGAAGAAATTGCAAAAGGAACAGCAGGAGCAGAAATGAGGTACCCTTAGAGCACAATGCCTGATAATCCTCTGTATTTTAGAGAAAGCAGTCCAGACAATTAATATTTTAATATAGAGAACTCTATTTTTCTCCCTTTATTATCTCAGAAAACGGTGGATTTTTCTGAAATACACTTGAAATGTAACAATTTCTTTTTTTACCATGGAAGTATCTGTAAATTTCAGATAGGATATAAGCCTCACAGATTGCTTTTTGCCATGATTCACTATCACTGTACAAAATATTATGTAAATTATTATGGTGAAAATTCATTATTAACTTATATTAAAAGCAACAAACTATACAGATCAAATAACACAGTATGTATTTTTACACAAATGAATAAAACAGTTTTGAATTAGAAAAGCAATGATGACCTCCTTTCATAAAAGTTGTAGTCTTTTTTTTGTTTTGAATTGTAGGGATCACTCCTGTTGATAATAAGCACCACATACACTTAAATAGTTAGCATTTCCAATTATCAAAATTACAGAAAATATATCTTCCTTACCTATGTATACAATTTTTAGATTCGAGATATGCCATACCAGAAGCAGCATCTAATGAAAATTTCACCAGCTGTTTGGTTTTTAGCTCATCCTTCTTTTTTCTTAAAAACGATAGGAAATCACCTCCTAGAAAAACAGATGGATGGACAGTTAGACATGACAGACAGGATATTCACATTTATCTCTCATTAAGGGTGTGAGACCAAACAAAATGCAGCCATCAGCTGTTATCTTTAACCCATCAGTCTGAGGATAAGCCTAAGAAAACTGAAGGAATTCACCTTTCAAAATGCACTCTCCCTAACTTCCATTAACTAGCAGGTGCTTAAAGCTGAAAACTGCACAGCATGTTTTTGATAAACCCAAAATCTTCATGTGTGTCCATTAAATACAGATGAACATTAAAATTGTCATAAAAAACAATAGGTAATTTGTGATAAATATAATTCCATAATCACAAAACAGTTGCTGTAGGAGTTTATAAAAAAAAAAGTGAATAAAGAAGTTAGGTCCTACTAGTTACATGAGAGTAAATAGTTTTCAATTGATCATCTGCAGTGGTGATTCTCAAATTCTACACTGATGTGTCTGGAGAGGGTGACAAAATGTTTTACATCTTGGGCAATGTAAGCTGCATATTTGACACTGGCAATTGAAGAAGGAATTTCTGTTTGAAAAAAAAAAAAATTCTGAAAAACTGATTTGGAACAAAGAGAACCATGAGGAGCATTATACCAACACTGCAATGCTATGTTCTGATGGATATAACTGTATCAAATATATTTTTCTAAAATCCATTTTATTGTTTCAGGCAAAGACAAAAAATCATAGTGAAGCTTTCCACATCACACTCTTTATTTGCTAGTGTGTAGCCAGCCATTGCTCTGGTCTTTGCTTCTTTTCACTTTGCACTGAATTGCCTACAGTGATTCTCTCTTGCAGATAATGCACTGTTACACAATTTTGTTTACCACCTTTTTTAACAATGTGAAATAACATCAGGTATTACAAGTTTCATATGGGTTTTTTATAGATTTTTAATGGATTAGCACCTTAACTCCTTAACTGCCAGCTGCTCTGTTTATTCATTTTGCCTGGGATCAGGTTTCTTTTAGTGCAAATGACCTGGATATGATTGTTTCATAGGTTGTCCCTTAAAATTCCCAGAAAATTAAACATTTGATAAACTACAGTTAAAAAACACTGTTTTGACTTTGCTTGATTTTTTTTTTTTTTTTTTTAAAAACACCGTAATACTACAGGAAAGCCAGAAAATAGTCTGTTTTCACACAGTAGTTGAGGTTGGCATGGGCCTCTGGTGGTCATTTGGTCCAACACTCTGCTGAAGTAAGGGTCATCTAGAGCCAGTTGTCCAAGATCATGGCTTTTGACAGTCTCCAAGGAAGGGACTCCACTACTTCTCTGGGCAAACTGTGCCAGTGTTTGGTCATCCTCACAGTGAAAAAGTGTTCCCTACTGTTCAGGAAGAACCTCCTGTTTTTCAATATGTGCCCATTGCCTCTGGTCCTACCACTGGGCACCACTGGAAAGAGCCTGGCTCCATCTTCTTTACACCCTCCCTTCAGGTATTTATACACATTGATGAGATGCTCCTGAGCCCTTTCTAGGCTGAACAGTCCCACCTGTGTTCTCATGTTGTGCCAGCTAGAACCTCTCAGATGAGCAACTACAGACTGAGTACACCAACAGTGCTTCTGGCATGGATGGAGCGCATGATGCCCTTTACTCCCGGGCTGGGTAACACAGATGGAAAATCAAGAGCTGACTCGATGTGTTTGACTCTACAGCCATTTGAAATACCCTCTGCTTTACAAAAGCTAGTTACACACATTTCATAGCAAAGTCTGATGGGTTGAAACTTGAGATATTGAATTTTAATTTTTAATGAGATTTTAAAAGAACAGAACAGTATTACAAGCTGGACTGTGTAACAATCACCTTTGCTTTAATATGAGAAGCTCCTGACATAGTCTGCTAATGGTGAAAAACTAGGTATTGCCAGAGAGAAAAAAGATTGGAAGACTCCATTGAAATATGTGTAATTTCTTACACATGTTTACATAATTATTCTGGTTACAGAAAACAATTAACAGTAATTTTTAAGCACTTTCCCCCCTCCAGCACATACAAACAGCCTGATGAAAATTATTTTGTTTATATACTGAGAACTCACTGATTTGTACATAGGAATCATCTTTTAATTAGCAATTATGATTATACGCCTTTATGAATGTGAGTCTTGCAGTCTTGACAAATTGTAGCATTACTTGAATGAGAATAGTAAATCAAGGAAGCTTACAGAAAAGACATATGAGATTATCCTAAAAAACTCTATCCTCAATCAACTGATGTTTTAATATTAAAGATTTGAGAATTTCTAACAACTTACTGCAGGAAGACCTGAAAGGACAGATAAGGTCAGTTTCATACACAAAAAGCCCCCAGATGCCTTCTCATACAGCCATACTAAAAATGAAGGAACAAGTCCTAAGTATGAGTGTTACGAAAACATCAGTGTGAATCTAAATTCGTATTCTGCACAATTTGTATATATTCTTTGTACAAATAAGTTACTGCTGTCCACAACCAACAGAAAAAATCTGTTCTCAAATACAAGGCTACTAAAGATAACACAGTATCAAAAGAAAAGCTAAGCATATCCATTAAAAAAAAATAGAAATAATACATGTTTTAAGTTTGTTTCTAATTTGCTTAGGCAATCAGATTAAGATCCTGATTTCCATCAGTTCATTTCTGAATAGGATTAAAAGATGCTCAGTTCCTTACATCAGAATACGTCAAACCTCAAGAGCAGAAGCCTGTATCTTCCCAGTGCAATCATACCATCAGGAAGTGATTTAGACTTGCTGATTTTCCGTGTTTGGCAATTACTGTGTGAACTTCTAGAGTTTTAAGCAAAGCAAGCACAGTATACCTTGAGCTGTATACAGTGTATTTTATGCCTATCATCAAAACATAGTTTTAATAAAATTATCTTCATCTCAGAGTCTCAATAGTGAAAAAAATTAGCAAAGGTGTATTTTCTCTAGCAGTTGTGTTTTCTTCTATCTGCCCTTACACAGAGAAGACAAAAAAATGTCTTTTAAATACTCTAATGCCGATCTGAGAGCATTGTTCTTTGCAGACAAAATAGAAGAACAAAGTTATATATGTCTCATTCTGTACAAGACATGTCATTTTAGGCTAAATCTTATCATCCTCATCATTGTGATACCAATATAGGCTTAAGTGTCTGTCCCTTAACTACCAAAATTACTCCTACTAGTAAATTCTGACTCTTACATTGGTCTACTGTGACCAATGTCCCAACTATTCATCTTCACAAGAAAACATCCACACGAATACCTTCAAAGATAAGACTTCACCACAAACCCTTCAGTGCAGAACTGTGGCTACCTAATAACTGTATGTGCTTCTCAAAACAAGTTCAAATATAAAAAGCCCTAATTCACTATTAGCAGCACAAAGTGGCAGAGCATTATCTCCAATATAATAGCTGTTGATGGAAATGAAATAAACATACCAATTCAACTATGAAACAGCTGAAACAAAACTAGATGACTACATAACAGTAAGTAATGTTTTCTCTTATATGTGGAATTTCCATTGTATTCTACACAGCTACCTGTTATTCGTTAGTGTTAACACAACACTACCAGGAAATGAGGTTTGTTCCAACCACTCTAAGTACTACAGAAATAATTAGCCCCTTATAGTATTACCACCAAGCAGAAATCAAATGGCTGGCTTTGGTTTACAGGAGGATAATTAACTGTACTGGAGCGTCTGCCTAATATGGTAGAATTATTTTCCTAAGCAGATGACAAAAAGAGCAGAAGGTCCATGAGAGCAGCCTGCTAAAACTGGGTTCCTCAAAACAGCCCTTCAAGTATTTCACTGTTAATAAGAACTATTTCAGATTATATGTAGGAATTTTAAGAGAGTGAAAATAAATACCACATATCAGCATTTCCTAGTGTTGGTCATGTTTATAGCATAAACTTTATGCTGCATGTAAAGTAGTATTTTACAGCAATATAACAGTTCACTTAATGACACACATGAAAGTAAGATAACGTTTTGCAAGAGAAAAAAAAGCTGTCTGTGATCTATGAGAAGAAATCAAAATACAAGGAACAGCAATGAAATATGTTAAATCAGTTTACAAAACATTTAATTACATCAATTTCTGGCTTCAATGACATTTATAATCAACTATGAGTACATACTTCAGTGTTCTCCTGAGCTGGTGCCCAAAATGGTACCTACCTACTTGGCACTCTAGTCACTCCTGACATTATTCTGATAATGAGTATTGATACGGAACATAATTAAAATATAGTTTTGAAATGATGATAGGAAATCTCCCACTTATTGATATCCAGATATACAGACAGATATTATTTGTATATTATATATCTATATGGCATCACATTATTTAAACAATGTTATAAATAATAACTCTACAAATGTTAATAGATGTGTTAACATAACAGCAATTATTAGAGAATTATATGGAATTATATATATATATATTATTCACGTATAAGTTCTCATAAAGTGGGAGAATTTCCTTTCCTAATCAGCCGTGTTAAGTAGCAGTTTGTTTAAAGAGTCCTCTTAATTCTTTTTAGATATGCACACACTTGTCATGCAGATGCAGAACACTTCTGGACATACCACTTAATAGTCACCTAACATAGAGGAGATCCACGATTCAGCATTCATAATTGTTTCATAAGCTGGTAGAATATTATTGAAATAATCTTTATCTGAACATGCATTTATAAATTTGAGGACTCATATGGTCAGTCTTTTAAGTAATGTAAAAGAAGTAAGATTTTTATTGCCTAGTGTCACAATCACATATACATTAATAACAAAGCAAACCCTAATGCAGCTACTTAAAACTACGAATTTAAAATACCAAACATGCATCTGTGGCAATCTGAGAATTCTTTTTTAAGAAAATAAGCAGCTGTTTGACAAACTATTGAAAATACATGGGTTTAGAAATGCTGAAGAACTCACTATCCTTAAAATTCTGCGTTTTCACTTTACAACCAATAGATCACTTAGGTGTA